GCAGTAACTAGAGCCTCATCACATGTATTATTTCATTTGACCCTGACAAGAGCCCTGTGGGGAAGACAGTCCCCTTGTATGTAGGGAAACTAAGGTTCAGAGGTGAAGTGACTAGGCTAAGGTCAGAACACACAATGAGAAATCAATGTACTAGATCCAAGACCCAAGTCCTCTGCTCTTCCCTGAAGACTACAGGTGTGGCATATGTCCAGTATATTTTGGTCTGTCATTCATTTATTCATTCAGCAAATATTTACTGAACATCAGGTGATGCCTGGGCACTGTGCTCAGTGTTGAGGATCCATTGGTGAACACTCATGACGTCCAGAAACTAGGAAGAGAGACACAATTTAAACAAATAATCATACAATTAAATATATAACTAAAATTAAGTGATATTTGCACAACCACATTCATAGCAGCATTATCCACAATAGCCAAAAGGTGAAAGCACACCAAGTGTCCCTCAGTGGATGAATGGATAGATAAAATGCAATTTACACAAACAATGGAAAATCATTCAACTATAAAAAGGAAGTAAATTCTGACACATGTTACAATATGAATGCAACTTAAAGACATGCTAAGTGAAATAAGAGTCACAAAAGGACACATACTGTATGATTCCACTTATGTGAGGTACCTAAAGTGGTCAGATTCATAGAAACAGAAAGTAAAATGGTGGTTGCGGAGGCTGGGGGGGTGGGGAGCAGGGGGATTTTTTTTTAATTGAAGTGCAGTCAGTTACAATGTGTCAACTTCTGGTGTACAGCACAATGTCCCAGTCATGCATATACATATATATATCTGCTTTCATATTCTTTTTCATTAAAGGTTATTATAATATATTGAATATAGTTCCCTGTGCTATACAGAAGAAACTTTTTAAAAAATCTATTTTTATATATAGTAGCTAACACTTGCAAATTTCAAACAGGGGGAATTATTATTTAATGGGTGCAGAATTCCAGTATGGGAAGATGAAGAAGTTCTAGAGGTAGATGGTGGTGATGGTTCCATATCAATGTGAATGTACTTAAATGCCACTGAACTATAGACAAAAATGGTTAAAATGGTAAAATTTATGTTATGTATATTTTACCATAAAGAATATATATGTGTGTGTGTGTGTGTGTGTATACATTAGGCAACGTGCTGTAGGAGGAGATGTCTGGGAAGTGTGTAAGAAGAACTAACCTGACCTAGGCCTGGCGGGAGGGCCTCTCTGAGACTAACAGAAGGAAGGAGCTGGCCCATTGGAGAAAGGGTACAACGTTCCAGGCAGATGGAAGCATTGTGCAAAGGTCCTGAGGCAGGAAGTGTTTTTGTGGCTCTGAAGAACAGCAAAGCTATTGGGATGTGATTGGGGTGCAGAAAGCAAGGGGGAGGTTGGCTCCAGGTGAAGGTGAACAGAAAGTCAGGGCCAGATCTTGTTTGACAAGGATTTAAGCTCACAGTGTAATAGCAGTGGGCAGCCAGGCAAAGGTTTCTGAAACTATGTGAGGTTCAGAGTGGGTACAAGAAGCTAATTGGTTATTGCAGTGGCCTGAGTTACAAGGGGGTGACAGTCAGGACTAGAGTGCTGCATAGAGATGGAGGCAAGTGATGTGGCAGATGTTGTTACTGAGTCCAAGCTCGTACTGCTCACTGCACAGCAGGCCAATAAATCGAAAGATGAATAAATTGAGTTATTGGGGTAAGGTGACTTTATTCAGAAAGCCAGCAGATCGAGAAGATGGTGGACTGGTGTCTCCTGAAAACCATTTTACCCGAATTAGAATTCAGGCTACTTTTATACTAAAAGGGAGGGGGTGTAGTTGGCTGTTGCAAACTTCTTGGTGTCAGAATCCTTTGTTCTTGCAGCTGTCCATGTAGGTCAGGTCATGATGTTCCTGTAAACTTCCAACAAGACAAATGCTGGGGGAAGGGACAGCTCAAGTGGTAGAGCACATGGTTAGCATATACAGGGTCCTGGGTTCAATCCCCAGTATCTACTCTAAAAATAAATATATAAGTAAACCTAATTACTGCCCCCACAAAAGACAAGTGTTATTCTCTGTTCTGCAACTTTTTATCTCTATATAAATGGAAAAGTGTTATGCCTTTAAATGTCAGAGCCTTGAGAATGGGCTATCTTGTATATTTTGGACATAGGCAACATTCTTAACTTGTAGCAAAAGGAATAGAATACAAAGGCCTTAAAGGAAAAGAAACAGATCCAATATGGAGTCAGATTTTTTTCCTCTGTATTATAGTGGGAGCAAGAGAGAGATGTCAGGGAACCAGGGTCTCTGAGTTTCCAGCAGCTGCAGAAAGGTGGCTGGTTGCTTCCCACTGAGTCCATTCTCCAAAATGGTGTCTGCTCAACAGATTTTTTAAAAAATTAATTTATTCTAAAAATTGTGGTAACATATGCATAATATAAAACTTACCATTTTTAAGTGTACAGTTCAGTGAACAATCACCACTATCCACTTCCAGAACTTTTTTTTATCTTCCCTAACTAGAACTCTGCACCTGTTAAACACAGCTCCTACTACCCACTCCCTGCCAGCCCCTGCAACCACCATTCTGCGTTCTGTCCATGAACTGGCCTTCTCAGTACTCTCAGTATAGGTACCTCATATAAGTGAGACCATACAGTCTTTGTCCTTTTGTGACTGGCTTATTTCACTTAGTGTGATGTCCTCAAGGTTCATTTGTGTTGTGTTCTAGACTGTTTTTTAAAAGTTGGTATAAAGGTTGGTAAAACTATGATGTAAAGACTGAAAGAGTAGAGTGAAGGCAAGGCTATGATAAATTTGGTCAGAGGGTGAGGGCTTTGCTCTATGCCTTCTCACAACAAACAAGGAGCAGACTTTAGGACTGCACTCACCCCCACAGCACACCCCTGAAGGCTCATTGCTCTCAGCCTCCAAAGAGAGCCTGAGGACCTCTCTGGGTCTCCCTGCCTAGGTCTGTCTGAGGGTGTATGACAGTGTGATCTGGCATCTCTCTAGGTATGAAGGCATTTGCCTGTGTACTAGTTTTCTGTTGGTGCCATAACAAATTACCGCACATTTCTTGACTTAAAATGTTACCGAGTCCAAACTCATTCTGCTCACCACCCGACAGGCCAATAAATCAGGAGACAAGGTGTTGGGGCAAGGACCTTATTTGGAAAGCCAGCAGGCTGAGATGATGGCAGACTAATGTCCTGGAGAACCATCTTCCTCAAGTGAGAATCTAGGCTCCTTTTATACTAAAAAGGGGAGGGGTTGTGGTTGGTTGTTGCAAATTTCTTGGTGTCAGAATCCTTTGTTCTTGCAGCTGTCCACGTGGTCAGTTCAAGATGTCCCTGTAAACCTCCAACAAGACAAATGTTATTTTCTTTTCTGCAACTTTTTATCTTCATATGAATGGGAAAGTGTTGTACACTTAAAGGTCAGAGCCTTGAGAATGGACTGTCCTGTATATTTCAGGATATAGGCAACATCCTTTTACAAAAGGTACAGAACTAGCATGACTAAGCATGGAAAACTGAGCATGGGGTTAGAGCTAAAGGAATAGATCTAATATGGAATCAGATTTGTTCTTCCCTACTACTGTTGCAGCAAAGTGTGTTACAGCTCAGTGTCACAGCTCAGTGTTATAGCTCAGTTGTGATAGCAACCTGGATCTGGGCAAGAGACCAAGCAGCACTCGGAGGGTTGGAGAACTCAGATTTATTATGCCAGCAGGCCCAGAGGAGTTAACACTCCAAGCTCTGGACCCCGTCTGTAGGTTTACACAGGCTTTTATAGGATACCAGTTTAGACTTTGCAACATTTTGCAACATCATATGCAAATAAGGTATAACAAAAGTGACTGATTAGGAACAAGCTTTGTAGAAATGGACCAATCAGGAGTGAGGAACATGGACCAATCAGGAGTAAGAGAAATGGACCAATCAGGAGTTAGCTCAGGGAACCAATAGAATCTTAGGGGTAAGTTCCGCTTTCCTAGAAGTAAGTTGTTTCAGAGTTTAAAAAGTGAAATAATGCCGCTGGGCCAGGGAACCAAATGGTGCTGGCAGGAGGGTAGTGGCCCTGCCTGGGGGTCTTGCCATCTTTTTCATGGGGCTTCCCATCTCACTACAAAACAGCACACATGTATTATCTTACAGTTGTATAAGTTAAAGTCCAACATGGGTCTCACTGGGCTACCATCAGGATGTCAGCAGGGCTATATTCCTTTCTGGAGGCTCTAGACCAAAGATCAGTTTCCTTGCCTTTTCCAGCTTCTAGAGCTGCCTGCATTCCCTGGCTCATGGTGCCTTCCTCTGTCTTCAGAGTTAGCAGTGTGGCATCTCCCTGACTCTTCTTCCTTCCTCACATTGTTCTTTTTTTCTGACCAAAGCTGGGAAAGATTCTCCCATTTTAAGGACTCATATAAATAGATTGGGTCCACCTGGATAATCTGGGCTACACTCCTCATTCAAAGGTCCTTAATCTTAATCACATCTGCAAAGTCCCTTTTACCATGTAAGATAACATGTTTACAGGTTCTGGGACTAGGACATGGATATATTTGGGGGGCCTTTATTCTACCTAGCACCCCTGTGTGTGCTGGGAATGTGTGATGGTGACTGTATGTGCATGCCTATGTAGTTTGTGTCCCCTCAGCCTTTGCCTCCAACACAGGGGGTTTCTCTTCCCACCTTTTGTTTGTTTTTAGTTTGTTCAGAATGAGGAAGCCTTAGCTTTGGTAAGCAAATATATGCAAACCCCCATGCAAGTAGGGGCCTGGCTGGAGGACCCCTCCTAGGGCTGGCTTTTTAGGGACTTGGAAGAGATTCCATGAAGATCACTTCTAACTCATGCATCCATCCTAAACTCAGAATCAAGCCCAGGAGAGGCCCCAGTGACAGTTTCCTAACTAGAAAATAAATGAGGAGTTGAGTTGAAATGGCCTTGTGACATACAAGGCCCATAAAGTAGAAACAAAATGATAAACCAAGAACACCAAGATTTTTTTTTCAGAGTATCAGGGAAACCGCAGGTATGGAAACAACTTGCTGACATCAGGAAGGCAGGTGCATCGAGGGACTAAAATGACTGACAGTGAACTTTAAATCCACCACATGTTACATATGGACCTGCCTTGTGGTCTCCAGCAAGTCAGCGATAGAGCCACGGTAAGAGCTGGGATGCCTGGTTTCCATCCCATCCACTCCATCTCCAAGCCACCAAAGCCCCACCCAATCTGAGTCCCCGTAACATTCTTTCTCATCTCTCTATCCCCAGACAGCTAGTTCCACCCAAAAGGATTCTCATTGTTCTCCGAATACATCATCTGCTTTTAACTCTATGCCCTTGCATGCCATATGCCTTTTCCTGCATCACCTTCTCCCATTTATCTAACAGGTTAACTCCTACTCATCTCTCAAGGCCCATTCAAATGTCTCCTTCCCTGGAACAAAGACTAAATTCAGTTTATACAGAACCTATACGTCTTCCCTTCCTCTGTGCTCTCATAACACTCTCTATATACAGTGATTTTAACATTTATTACCCTCTTCTATAATTGTATATAATTGTCTTAGTCTTCACTAGGCTATATTTTTTTCTAGGACAGGAATTATTCCTGCTTCATCTCTCTGCCCCCAGGGCCTATTAAGTGTCTGGCACTTGGGTGGCACTCAATAAGTTTTGACTAAATGGTAGAACAAATGAAGGAATATGAGGAAATTTCTTAACCTGTCAGAGTCTTAGTTTATTATTTTTCTTAGTTTATTAGAAAAAAAGTCAAACACTTGGCAAGGGTAAATGATGGATAATGAATGTAAAGCAGATGGCACCTTCACTGACCCAGTTGCCTGAGCCAAAAATAGGGAATCACCCCAAATTTCCACATCTTCCTCTCCCTTTTCCCCCTCCCCCCAGTCACCATGACTTGTTGAACCTGGCTGAGGATGTAGGTCAGAAACTGTAGGTTAGTGGCCAGAGCTGTCAGGAAGGATGGAGGCAAAGGGTGGATCCTGAGTGAAATGATATGTAATGAAAAAAAGAAGGGGGAGAGACTAACAGGGATGCAGCCCACAGGAGGAACAGATAAGAGATCTAGGAGATGGAGTGGTCAAGCTGGGTCCTGAGGATATAGAAACCACTCAGTCTGTGCCCTCAAGGACCTCATGGTCGACTGAGGAAACAAATAGAAACAATTTTATACAGACCTCCACTGTAGTGCAGCACTATCTCCTTCCTGATACCCCTTCTTTACTTGGCTTCCATGAAATCACCCAACTTCCCTGGCTTTCTCCTTACCTTTTTGCCTTCCTCCTCAGTCTAGTTTGCTGCTTCTCCTGGTTTCTTCAGATTCTGAATTTTGAAGGAAACAATTTTCCATCTACACTCACTCCTTTGGGGATCTCATCCAGTCTCATGGCTTTAAACACCACCTCTGTGCTGATGACTCCCAAATTGATATTTCCAGTCTTGTTCTCTCCCTTGACCTTCAAATCTATATGCCCTGCTGCCCCCTCAACATGCCAACTCTAATGGACATCTCAAACTTAAAGGGTGTCTAATGGATACCCCAGAATGAACTCCAGAAAGTTCCTCCCAAACCAGCACCTCCCTTGTCTTTCCAACTGATCTCCCGCTTCGGCCATTGTCCCCACTGAATCTGTTCTTCACAAAACAGCCAGAGTAACGCTCTTAAAATGTAAATCAAATTGTGTGGATTCTCTGCTCAAAACTCTTCACAGGATCCTCAACATGGGGTGAAAGCCATAGTCCTTATTGAGTTCTGACCACCTGTACTATCTGGCCCTAGTCTGTCCTCATCTCCTCCCATTCTCCCCTTAGAACATTATGCTTCAGCCATTCTAGGCCCTTTACACTTACTCTTTCCTTGATGTTCTTTCCTAAATATCAGAATAGGGCTCCCTTTCTTTTTTTCTTCAGATCTTTTACTCAAAAGTCACCTTCCCAGTAAGGTCTTCCTTGGCTCCCCCTAACTAAAATAAAACATCTTCCCTGCCAACATTTTATTTCCACTTCTCTGATTTATTTATTCTCTTTAGTATTTACTGCAATCTTAAGACTATACATTTTATTTACCTATCTTTATCTCTCATTAAAATGGAATCACCACAAGGAGAGAGGTTTTTGGGTTTTTTTCGGTTTTGTTTGTTTACTGTTGAATATCCTCTACTTATAATAGTGGCAGGCCTATAGTAAGGTACTAAATTGGTATTGTGTTGTAGGACACACAGCAGGTCAGTGCACAGACAGTAAAAGAATTTACCAAAGACCACAAGGAGTTAAGAACAAAGGTAAAGTTTAATAGATACGCTGCTACAGGCAACAGCAGACCACACAGATGAGAGGTGCCTGTGTGAGGACTGAGGGTGAACATGCAGGGTCTTTTATTGGGGGGAAGGAGCTGTGAACACAAGGCTGCATGATCAATTCATGCACAAGCACCTGATTGGTTATAAGATCTGTTGGGGGCTACTCTGAGTAATGGGATTTATGGCTCTGCTAATGGAGGATGTGAGGCCTATCCACCTAGGGCATTTGAGATTAGCCATTTTCTGGGGGTGGTTAATTTTGTTATGGTAAACACACATTGAGGGAAGATGTTTTTATCTTTAAAGAAATGCAGGTATATGGAGAGAGTGGGGAGTGGGGTTTAAAGGTGCCAGTCTGCTTCAGACACACGGAGAGCCCTGGAGCAGGCTGGACAGGGTCTTATGATTTTAGAGCAGCTTCAGAGAGTGCCAACTAGCTCCACATTTTGGTTGAATGAATGAATGAAAAGGGTGGACATTTCCAAGAGGCAAATTTTACTAATAAAAAACTTTGAACAATCAAGAACAGCTTGGCAACATTTACAGCCAATATGCACAGTACACTACCTCTTAAACATGTTACTTCATCAGCCCAGGATAGGAGGAAGGCTGGGCAGAGATTATGATACTGGTTGAAAAGGAAACTGAGTCTTATGCAGAAAAGGAATTTATTAAAAGTCACACATCTGTTCGGGGCAGGATTGGAACTGTGGGTGACTGCTGGCCCTGAAAGAGGCTGGTGGTTGATGGCGCGTAATGGAGGTTGGGTTGAAGGACTCCCGTTGCCAGAAAATCATAAGGATCTCTGAAGGAGAAGCTGAGTCAGAGGTTACTAGAACAGAGGCATCAACAAAGGAGTGGGAGAGATATGAGGAGGCTGACTACTAAGCAGATTTGGCCCAGGCCTGGAGAGGGCAGCTGAATTCCCCAGCAGCAGAATGCCGCGCCTGAAACTGAGTGATTAATCACTCAAGCCCTTATAAAATGTCGAATGCAGAACTGGACAATCTTAAGAGACTAGCGAGTCCATTACAGGTCTGTAGAGTCTGCCTTCCCCTCTGGACTGTTAAGTCTTTGCGGGGTAGTAGCCATGTTCCTAGATTTAACCCCAGCTTCTACCAGGGCCTGGAATATGAAATATGGTATTTATATATATATAAAAATATATATAATTTGTTGAAGGCATACGTAAATCCATATATGCTTCCAAACGGGAAACTGAGAGCGAGAGAGGACAGACAAGAGGGGCATTCAAAATCACGCAGCGATTCTGGGGTAGAAGTAGCCTAATTTTCCCGGGACACAGCAGGACAAACAGTTCTAGTACTGAAGCTGGCTAACCCCGAATATTTTTCAGGAGGGATTGCTAAGCAACTACTGCCTGGAGACAGAGGGGCGGGGCCGTTGGGGCGGGGCCAGGCTGGAGCGGCCGATTGGCTGAGACCCAAGGCGGGGCCAATAGAGCACGCGCGCCAAATTTCCAACCAACACGTAACAAACGTATGTAACGTCACATCCGGTCTGGTGGGCGGGAGTGGGAAACAATAGAAAACCAAAGACGCATGCGTTTAGCGTGTTCCGGATTCTGGTGGGTTCTTCCGCTCAGGCAGAGGGAAGTGCTTCCGGGTCGCCGCCGGCTACAGCCTCCCGGCGTGGTAAGTACAGAAGCAAAGCCTCGGCTGTTGTCCCCTTACCCGTTCCTTCCTCCCCTCCCTAAAGAAACCCTGTTCCCCTGACCCACCTCCTCAGGAGCTCCCTGTTCAGACTTCCTTTAACATTAAAGAGCTCCAGCTCATTGGCCGTTTCCTCGAGACTAAGCCCCACCCCGTCACACAAGATCCGTCACTCATTGGTGTCTCTTCCTGTCACCCTACATTCCTTCCAGTTAATTGGCCTTACTCTAGCCCCGCTCCTTTAGCGATTAGCAGCCTTATAAGGGCAAATGCCTGCCCGAATCCCGCCCCTGTCTTCTTCCGGTTGGTCAATTCCAAGGTTATTATCATAATAAGCAAAGAAAGGGAGGTGGCTTTGCGGCAAGGAATTGGGCTTTCCGAGCCTTGTTCTCTGGCCCCTCAGTACTTCTGGGACGTTAGGGTGGGTGTTGCTATTCCTATTAAACAGGCCGGGAAGCTGAGGTTCACGGAAGGGCAGCGGCTGGCCCCGGATCGGTCCAAGTTAGGGCAAAAGCAGAACTAGACATAGATCCCCTTCTGCTCATTTCTGGTGTCCCGCCTTGGGTCTGGTTCCCGCGGGAGTTCTATGCCCCAACTCAACTACGTGACCTAGAGCCCGTCGCCTGGGCCTCAGTTTTCCTATGGGTTGAAAGGTTTTAATTCACATTGTCTGGGACCTTACTGCTCAGCCCCCTGAGCTGCTTAATCCAAGCTGAAGTTACTTGTTCTCTCGCATATTAGTTCGTCCATTCAATTTTTCCATCTACTTATTTATCCGTTTACTCATGCCTTTAGAATGTCTTACTGAGCTACTGTTGTACTGGTTAACACCTCCGAGCGCGCCCTAACCCATCATGGCCCCTACACCCCCTCACAATTTGTAGTTCATTAGAAAGGTGGTTAGTGTGCTAAATTTCTGACACTGGTTGGGCATGCTGTGGAGCATCATAGACAAGCAAAAAGGAGGTCTCATGTTTGGAGGAGGTAGATAAGAGTTTCAGCAGAGTCCTGCCATCTTTAATTTTGTGGAATTTTATAATGCCAGTCTGCATCCTGGATTCCTCTCTCTACATTTGGCTTCCTTTCTTCGCTCCTTGACGAGCTTACAAACAGCTTTACTTATTCATAAAGTAAATTATTTATCAGAATAAAAGTGAAGTAGTGTAATTGTTATTATCCCCCATTTTACAGATGAGGAAACTGAGGCTCAGAGAGGTTAAATGATTTGGCCAAGGTCAAACAGCTAGTAAGTGGCGGAGCCAGGACTCAAACTCAGGTCTATCTGATTCCCACAGGGAAGAGCTGCTTCCCCACTACCTTCCACTCCACCCCATCCCCAGACCAAACTGTAACCAAATAAAACCAAAACCAAACACTTCTAAGACCTGAATTCACTTGACCCTTTCCCTCAGTCTAGAAGCCATGTCCACCTTGTTCCCCTCACTCTTCCCCCGTGTGACTGAGACACTGTGGTTTAATCTGGATCGACCCTGTGTGGAGGAGACAGAACTGCAGCAGCAAGAACAGCAGCATCAGGCCTGGGTGAGTGAGGATGCAGTACTATGATGGAGCTTCAGTCAAGTGCCACCTCATCACTGGCCATGACCCCACCTTACTCTGGAGACCTGCACTGGGAAGAATCAGGCTGGGAGCTGGGGGCTTAGGTTCTCACCTTTGTGTTGTCCTAATTTGCTAGGGGGACCATGGGACCTCTAGGCCAGATTGGAGCTGAGGCTCTTTACCCTAAAGCATAGGAAATAATAATTTTGACTGTTTATTGAGAACCTAGCAGATACCATGTTCTGGACTGATAGTCTCTCACTTCATCCTCACCATAATCTTATGAGGAAACCAAGGCCCAGAAAGTTTATAAGTTTATGTAATTGGATCAAGTTCATAAGCCAGTGGTAGATAACAAGAGAAAAAGGGATTGAATTTTCCTGAGAACAGGAAGGAAGCTTCTCCTCCACACTTGTGGGTTTTCTTGGGGGCAGGATGAGCCAGTCCATTGCCCCTGACCTGCCTCCCTTAGGCCCTGCCCTTGCTCTCCTCCCTCTTTGGCACAGCTCCAGAGCATCGCAGAGAAGGACAACAATCTGGTACCTATTGGCAAGCCAGCCTCAGAGGTGAGTGGCTCCAGCTGGTGGGGATAGGTGGGGCTAGGTGGGTCCCAGGTGGACTAGGGCTCTGCTCTAATTCTGAAGGTCTAGACTCTGACTCTAGAGCAGTCATGGTTCCTCAGCTCTGGGTAGAGGCCAGAAAGGGGAAGCAGAGGGGGTGGGCACTGGGCTCAGCACTAAGGTCCAGGTGGTGTGCACCACCCTGCTAGACTCCAGTGGGACAGGTTTGGGGAGTGGGGCTCATTCGTTGGTCCCAGGGAGAGGCTCCAGGTGGGCCAATCCTGGAACTGGTCCAGGCCTACTTGTAGAACCTACAGGCTCTTCCCTGCCTCACCAGCACTATGATGATGAGGAAGAGGAAGATGAAGATGATGACGAAGATAGTGAAGAGGACTCAGAGGATGATGAGGACATGCAGGACATGGATGAGATGAATGACTACAATGAGTCACCTGATGATGGAGAGGTCAATGAGGTAGGTAGGCATGTTGGGGAGGGCCTCTGCTCCTGGGCCCCTAACCCTGCCCTAACTGGCAGCCAAAGGATATAGAAACCCTGGATCAAACCAGGGGCAGGATCTGGGGCTGGTTGGGTGGCTGAGGCCCCTCCCCACCCACACCCAGCCTCCTCTCCAGGTGGACATGGAGGGCAATGAACAGGATCAGGATCAGTGGATGATCTAGGTAGACAAGGCAGGGTGGTCTCCAGGAGATTCCAGGCCAGCCCGGCCTACCCTGGACCCCTGAAGAACCAGCTGATCACCCTCCAGTGCCTGAAAGCTCACCCCTGAGCACTCATCAGCTGCTGCCAGGACCTGGTCTCCAAGGCCCCTCCCAGGCCATCAGTCTGCCCCTGAATCCTCAGGGCCTGAGCCCACTCCATCTTTCTGGCCAGCACCTCACCCCTTGATTTCCATATCTAATCTCTTTTTAATTCTCTTTAATAAAGACACAGGACTGATTTTTTTCCCCCCATGTCTATTCCCTGTTTCTTGGTGGAACCCAGGGGAGTCCAGCATCTTCTTTTGAGCTTTAGGGAGAGGGTACTCAAGGGACTCAGGCAAATCTACCTGGTCATACGCACTGGGACTAGGGAAGGCCAGGGTGGGCATGACCCTGTGTCCAGGCTCCACTGCCATTTCCTCTGGCCCAGCTTGCCCCCAGCCATTCCTGCAGGACCTCTAACCCGGTGTTTACTGTTCCTTTGATCCCGCCAGGAATGGCCTGGGCAGGGGGGCGGGGAGGGACTTTCTGAGGCCCAGAACCAAGAGGCCTCTGGAGCTCTCCTAGTCAGCTTCCTTGGTGTTAAGAGAACAAATTAAATCTCAGAACAGGGCAGGGACTCCCATGGAGTCACCCAGCAAATCAGTGACAGGGCTGGGCTGAGAGCTCCAGCCTCTTGCCAGTCATTCCATGGCTCTTTCTGGAAGGAGAGGGACCAGTGAGATCAAGCAACCTGAAAGAACTTGAGTCCTCCAGTCAGTGTGGGGCCAGAGTGGGCAGAGGTGGGAGGAGAGCCTCCCTAGACCTGAGCCCGCATGTATCATTCCACCAGCAGGGAGGGGCTGAGGAGGATGTTCTAATGTCCTTGTTTGGGTGGGAGTGGAGGGGGAGGCAGCAGTAAGTTTCCCTGGGCCTGGACCTCAGCCAGGCCCCGAGTAGGTGAGCTGGGCTATGCCATCCTTGATGGCAGGGAAGCCTGGGAGGCCAGTGTGGTGGAGGCGGCAGCGATAGCGGCCACAGCTCTTGGTATACTGCAGGAAGCGGGGTGCACCGGGGAAGAGCACGTGGTCAGCCAACACAGTGGCACCAGCTGGCAGCAGGGCATGGGCCTCCAGCAGCTGCAGGTCCCGCAAGTAACATCGTGGCCGGTGTGCCAGGAGCACCAAGTCTGCCCGACTCAGCTGGTACTGGGTTCGCAGGCGCGGAATCACCTCCTCTGAGCTACCGACAATGAGCTCCACCTGTCGGGGTGGGAGGAGCTGGAGGTGAGGGTGGGAGGGGTTGTTCTCCGACACCAGACCCCACCAGGATCTGGCTTACTTTGTGCCAGGCCCTGGCCTAGGTACCCCTGAATGTTCTCACATTTACTCTGGCCTCAGAACCCAAGAAGTCTGGATTCACATTGTGATTTCCATTCTGCCAGTGAAGAAGCTGAGATTCAGAGGATAAATGCTTTGCCCAAGATCACACAGCTAACAAGAGGCAGGCTCGGGTACGATCAGATTTGCTGGGCTCCAGAGACCTTCCTCTTAACTTTGTTGTCCAGCAGCAAATGTGTGCCAATGATTTGGAACAGGAGGACAAGAGCTCACGCACTCTCCAGGGCCACAGTTCCCTAAGTGGAGCTGTTTCCTTCTCCTGGGTAGGATTCTCCCACAGGGGAGGCTGGCTAGGGCAAGTGGAGGTGGCAGAAAAGAGACCAGGGTTGGGGAGGTGGGGGCTGACCGTGTGGTCGTTGAAGCCAGCCAGGCGGATGAGTTTTTCAGCTACTGCTGCCGTGCGTGGGTTCCGCTCCACGGTGAGAAGGTGGCCCCCAGGGGGCAGGGCACGGGCAATTAACAGTGTGGAGTACCCACAGTAGGTGCCCAGCTCCAGCGCACAAGCAGGGGCTTTCTCCTCCACCAGCCGCGTCAGGATTTGACCTGTCAGGGAAGATGGCTATTGCAGCAGACATGGGAGATGGATGCAGGGCCCCTCATAGAAAGGAGTCTCAAATGTCCACTTGCCTCACTGCATTCCCCAACCAGCTGGAGTCTCATCTCTTTCTTGGATTATAGTCTCAGCAGCCAAGCAGCCCTACTAGTCTCCCTTCCCCTCCAAGCTTGCCTCCTTCACAGCAGAAATCTAACAAATCTTACCCTATCATTCCCTGGTTCCTATGATCCTTTTCCCTTTTTTTTAAATGGAGGTGCTGGGGATTGAACCCAGGACCTCATGCATGCTAAGCATTCACTCTACTACTGAGCTATACTTCCTCCCTTCCTTCCCTCCATGATCCTAAAGCCTTTGGGACTGAACTTGGGATCCTCACCCTGACATTCAGGACCTTCTTGGACCTGATCCTATCCTACCTTTCCAGTTGCAGCTCTCAATTCTTCCCATCTATATAGCCCATTCCACTGCCATCATGAACAACGCTGCCCAGAGTCAATCATGCTAGCTCATTCCTTCATGCCACATTTATATATGTGGCTGGCTTTGCCCTTCCCCTCCTCTATCCTCAATTACCTGGCCAACTCAAAAGCAATCCCTTTAGGCTCAGTTCATACGTTGTCTCTAGGAGGGCCTAGGCAGAAACAACCACTAGGCTTCTGAGACAATTGTCTGGGCTCCTGAGAGATCTGTGCCAGAACTTCTATTTTCATTCCCTCTCGTTTTGTTCATTGAGTATCTATCTAACCGTTGAATTGGGTGAATTTCTTAAATAAGACTAAAAACAGCTAGGAGCTGGGACTCAAGACAAATCCAGGTAGCTACCCTGAATAGGATGGAGGAGCCCCCATGATCAGGGAGAAAGACTTAGACATAGATAACTACAAGCTATGTGTTGTGTGCTGACATGGTTATTCCCCTGTATCATGCCCCCTTTGAGGCCAGCACTTCTGGCTGAGTCATTCCTATGGGTTCTACTTCCTTCTCCCCCAGGACCTAGTACATGCCTGGTACAAAAGAGGTGGCGATAAACTTTACTAGATGACTGAATAACTTTGCCCAGCCCCCTTGTTTCCATAGGAGAAAAAAGAGACCCATAGAGGATCAAGAACCTGCTCAATTCACCCAGCAAGGCAGCAGCAGATCCCAAATCTTCCTTCACCATCTTGGAGGTGCTCTAGAGTAGAAGGCTAGGGAACACTGACCTTTGACAGGCCCCATGTGGCTTAGGTACTCGCAGTGGCTGCTCCAGTGGTCCAGGGTGGTGAGGATGTGACCAGGGTCCCCAGGCAGGGCATGGGTGAGCACATAGCTGAAGGCCCGCTCCTCAATCTGCAGCCCTGACAGGCAGTCTCGGAGGCTCCGCAGCAAGACCGTGCGTACCAGCAGTCGGAAGTGGTGCCGGTACCTCACTAGCAATGTCACCACCAGTGGCAGGAAGGCCAGCGCGATGGCGGGGGACATGGTCCCTACCTGGGCCCTGGGGTGAAGGGAGGGAGGGAAATCCACACCTGCCATTTCCCTGTCATTTGTGCAGCCCTTACCAGTAGCAATGATTATTCCTGTATTTTACAAACTTTGGCTCAGAAAGTCTAGGTCTTTTGTCTAACGTCACACAGCAGAACTAGGATTTGAATCCAAGCTGATCTGATTCCAAGCCCATGTACTTCCAAGGACTTCATGCTGTCTAAATTCACCCAACCCCAAACTACCTCTTCCCACTTCCAGCCCCTGGTCCATTTCACCTTGCTCCCTCCACCTGTTTTCCCTCATCTCTGTAGGCACCCTTCTTCAGGACCCCTTTCACCAGTTCCTTCTGAGTTATCCTCCCACCCCACCTCCTGCCTGCTTGGTCTCCTCTTACGCATTACTCTGTAGCAAAAGAGCATGACCTTGTAGTCAGAAATCCCTTCACTGTCACTGCTCTGCCTCAGTAAAAGGCAGTCAAAACACTTAACTTCATAGGGTGTTAGGATGAGTTGTCCTTACCAACCCAGGACTCTCCCTGTGTCTGCTCTTCCCTGGGGTGGGAAGAGTCCTTGATTCTGTGTTTCTTCTCCAGTCCTATCTCCCCCTGCCTGCACTCCCCTCTTCTGTTCTCTCTCAGAATTCCCTTCATATTTGGATACACAGCACACAGTTTTCCCCCAGTCAGCCTCTTCTCCCCCTCTCCCCCATCCCGAACCTATGGGGGATAAGTGCCCCATTTTCTCCCATGTCCTGGACCATTTGGCCCTTTGGAGGTCAATGGTAGTATATGAATATGGTGAATAGGTGAGTGATGGTGAGCTTGAACTGGTATGCTTGGGAACCCACACTCAAGGGCCCTGCTTACCTGGGCTGGATGCTTCTGTTTGGGGAAGATCAGAGCATAGGACAGGAGGAGGAGTCCTTGGGGTGGGGAAGAACCCTGAGGCAGGTTGGACCTGCTCTCAATTATTGATGCTGAGGCTGCTGCTGTCACCTGAGACCTGCAGTTCAAGTTACCAACCCCAGGGACAAGCTAGAGCTATTTCCTACCCTTTAGGAGCTCTCAAAGAACTAACAGAACTCCAGGGTCTTGATTTGAGGGGTAACATAGCTACTGGGTTTGGTGACCTTTCCTCCAACTCCTTGGTTCAGGACATGGGGTATGGTGTGAGCCAAGGTGACGGGAAGGTTGTAATTTACTCATAAATTCCACATTCAAGTTTTTTCTAAGCAGGTGCCAAGGCTTGGGTCACAGAGAAGAGTCAGATCCTGTCCCTGTGCCCTCTTCTACCTTTGGTAGAAGAGACGGACACAGGAACATAGAATACAATATAACATGGTCACTAGAATGCATGCTCCATGAACACAGGTTTTGGCAGGCAGACCTGGTGGAGACATTGTGCCAGGCTACGTGTGCAAAGTCCAGGATATCAATCAGGAAACTCCACATATTTCCCTGTGGCTGATGAGGCATTCCCCCAACCCCTGCTTCAAGACCCCAGGCCTGGAGTGAGTGTCAGGATCTGCAAGATCTTGAATGACAGATTTGAACTTGTGTTCAAAGTCCAAGAGGAGATGTGGGATGGTTCTAAGAAAAGCATTGATGTTAAGGTTTGCGTCAGATTACTATGATGCTGTCAAAAGGCAAGATTGAAGAAAAATGTCAGAGGGCAAGGAAATTAGTGAGGTGGCCTCCATCTCCACCAGGATTGAGCTCTGTTTCGATGTGTGTAAGTTTAAGGTCCGTTCTTCCAGTAAGTCTCATATTCCCAGTCTAGGTAGGGTACCACACCCTGTATATGTCCACCAAGTTGGCGCTAGGCAACTCGGGGGTGGGTGTGTGTACCCACACTATGAGCTCCTGTAGCATATGACCTGTTCCCCATTTGCCCTCAAATGGCATTTAGGAGAGCATTTCATGACGGCATTTGGTATGAATTCATTCACTGGCCCTGAAAGGTAGCCTGGCGGCCACGCAATCACACAATACACCTCACACGATTGCCTCTAGCCGGGCAGTGGAGGTCTTCAGCTCAGACCCGGAAGAGGCTGAACTCATGTGATCCGCCCCCCCTCGCATCACGTGTCTCACGGCCTGTCACGCAGGGTGCGCCTTCCCATTGGTTGGCGAGGATCAGGCGGTGAGGGCGGGGCCGGAAGCCGAGGTTGCGGCGGCAGCGAAGCCGCTCTGGGAAGGGGTAGGCGCGGGGGCGGTGGTTACTTGCTGGATGCAGACGTGCGTCATGTGACCGGAAGGGCTCCTGACGGACGCCGTCCCTCCTCGGCTTGGCCTGAGCGCCCGGCCCGACCCCCGCCATGGGGTGCTGCTATAGCAGCGAGAACGAGGACTCGGACCAGGTGCGGCCGCCGCGGGCGGGGCTCGGGATTGAGGGCTGAGACCCTGGGGCATGGGGCCCAGAGAAAAACCTGCAGAAGAAGGGGAGCCGGGTTGCGGGGCTCACTGAGTACGGAGGCCCGGAGGGAACAGATTACAGAGGCGACACCGGGCCGGGCTCCTAACCCTTTAAAAGCCCCAGTTCCCTCTGCATAGCCCCCGCGTTGCGGTGTGCGGGCAGCCGCTTATCACGCTCTCTACCACCCCTTCCACCTCCCCCTGCCTTCGGATCTTTACAACTTAAAGGATTCTCAGCCTTTGGTCCCTGGGAAGCACTCCCTTCCCAGCTTCCCATGCCTTCTCTGTGCTTGTAGTAGCGGGCTTTGTGAATCCATTGTAGAGGTGGGTAAACTGAGGCCCTAAGTTAGGTTGTCTCCAGATGAAATCAGGAAACTGTATTCTCTCAGTTCCTGGGATTGAAGAAGGAAGGTCACTACTGGTCTAGGGTCAGAGAAGGTCTCTGGAAGTTGGTGTCATTTGAGTTGGTCGGTGAAGGATGTAATAGATACAGTGAGGACATCCGGATGTGTGAGAAGTTGGGATGCAACAAATCGGGTTTACCTTTGACTGTACTGGAGCGGGGGAAGAGAGATGGGTTGAGGAGCTCAGTTTGGCTTGCCTTAGTGCAGTCCCTGCCTAGGGCCTGAGGGTTTCTCTAGCTAGAAGGGTGCTTGTCCTGGGTATTTGGCTGTAGATCCGATCCCTTTGCATAAATAATTAGGCTGGGGAGACCTGTACAGTTGTAAATTCTCCCTCTTTCTCTTGGTGCATTCTCACTTCTTGCAACAGTTTAATCCCTGCCTGCCTGACCTCCTTTGAGGAGGGGGAGGCCTTTTTAAGGATTAAAGTCTCAGGTTGTTGGCCACTTGCCTTTCTGGTTGCCTCTGAAGCCTAGATTCTACATTGATTCAACACAGAGAGACAAAAACAATAAAACAGTAGAAAGGTTTTAGCAAGTAGGAATAGATGGTCCCAGAAATAGATTATATCACTGGTACATGAGAAGTAGGTTTTTCCTCAGTGACTCATATGGACCTATTTTGGATTAAGGACTTAAATGTGGGAAAATGTCATTTGTATAGGAGGTATGGGTGATCCCTGGACCTTATTAATTCTGTAAATACCCAGTGAACACATACTCATTTTTTATTCTTTGTGTTTGGCATGCCTCATGGCCAACACCTCAGACTTCACCCCAGCTTGTTAGAAATAGGAGACAATATTCCTGCCTATTGGGAAAGCTGTAGCATAATGGGAAATTGGCCCTTAAAGCATAATAGGGACTCTTGCAGGGAATGAGACTCTTGCTTTATGAGGAAGGATACTAGCTTCTCGCTGGAATTGCTGGGCTTGCTGCTCTCCTGAGAATCTCCACCTTCCCCTTGATGGGATTTCACTTCTGTTTCTAACCCCTAGAGATGGTGCTTGATCAGTCCTGGGTGATTTGAGGCTTCATGTGGCAAAGGTCTACTTACCTGGTCTATAAGCCATAACCAGCCACTATCCCAGAGTCCCTCTTTCAGCTCTTGGGCAGGCTCCTCTCCCACTTTCATATCTTCCCCTTTGTTATAATAATAAAAAGGAAATATACAACACATTACAGTTTTCAAAGGCCTTTTACAGATAGCTCACTTGACTCCAGCCAAACATATGTCATATAGGTACCAGGAATGTCTATTTAAAGAAGAAGAAAAGTTCAGAGAGGCTGTGATTTAGCCAAGGTTACAAAGCTGAAAAGTGCCACAGCCAAGATATGTTGATGCTAAGTCATGTCTGTATCCATTGGGCCAAGCTGTCTCTTCGAGCTGTGCCCACAGACCGGGTGGCTAGTCATAGGCAGGCCACTTATGTGTCTGCATTAGGGTAGACAGTGAAACTCTTGACTCCCAGGTTGGCATTGACTCAGGGACAAATCTTGGTGTGAAAAAACCTCCTCCATGCTCCACTCACCTTCTTGGGAGTGGGGTGATGTTATCTGTCCACTCTGATGTGGTAGCATGACTTCTTCCAGGAGTCTAGGTCTCAGGAAAACAGCCTTGTTCTTGCAGAAGCCCTGATAGGGTAGAAACTGTCCTGTCCTGCAGCCGGATCTGTCTGATGTGGGGCTGGGGGATGCACATACAGGAAGCAAACTTGGGCTTCATTATGGAGCCAGCTTTCCTTAGAGATAGTTTAGTCTTTGGCAAGAATTTTGTCTTTCTAGCCTTTTAATACTTAGCCTGTGTTTTAGGGAGGACAGGAGGTGTCTAGGAGTTGGGAGTTTATAGGGCAGAAGCCCACAGCTTCTGTCTCCTGTTGGGAACTGAGGACACGGACAGCGGAGACCTGAGACTTGAGACTCGAAGAAGAGTACTGTGAAAAGGCTGGGCCTGCGTAGGGCGGGGCAGGCGGGGTAGGAGGAAGTAGCCCTCTGTAAGGAGAGTTGTGGAGTTGTGGGCAGGGAAGCTGGGAGCCTGCAAGTGTGAAAAGTCTCCGGTAGGAACTGAGATAGGCCTGAAATGGAGCACTGGGGAGCCTGGTGGTCTGGCACTGAGGGCAGGTGAGTCAGCCTTAGCCAGGATGGGCCCCTTGTCCTTGGCTTTATACTGGATACCCTTGTTCTTTATGACTTAGATAGATATCCAGCACATCTGCTTATCCAATTTGCAGCTGACACAAAGCCAGCAGGGATTTGCAGCTGATGGGTTCAAGGCAGGGGTGAGTTCAGAAAGATTGCTGTAGATTAGAACAAGGGACTAAAACAGGATGAGGAGAAATACACATAGAATTATACAGGACCAGGGAGACTTGGTTTGGCCTCAGGTCAGTTCTGGGGGTTGTGAGGATCAGCACAGGCTCACAGGAATAGGGCTGCTGAAAATTAATGAAGCTCCATTCACAAGGGCTTGGCAAGGGAGGGAACAACTCCACTGTTCAGTCAGGATACGGCAGGTGCACTGAGTTTGGTTCTGGGAGTCCCACACAAAGAGAGCATTGGAGGAGAGGAGAGTGGGCACCGGAGAGCAGAAGGGACACGACCTCAAAAAGGGACATTTGGACTGTAGGACCCAGAGCCTAGGGCTGTAGCTCCTGTCCTGAGATAATATGAGGAATGGCCATTGAGAGGTTGGACTTGCTTGCCCTTGGGGGTCTGGGGCCCTGTCTGTCCTCAGGACCTCTCCATCCTGGGAGCAGACACCCTTGCTGTGGAGGGTCTGGTCCTAGGGATCAGGAGGGCCATTCTTGGACTCTTGCATCAGTTTCTCTTTAGCCCCACTGTTTTGATATTTTCCACCCCCTCTGTGTTTGCATTTTTCAAATACTTATTTCATTTTATTTATTAAAAAAATTTTTTTAATGGAGGTACTGGGGATTGAACCCAGGACCTCATGCATGCTAAGCACCTGCTCTACCACTGAGCTGTACCCCCACCCCTATGGTATTTTCTGGCTTCTAGCCTCTAATATCCTTTCTTCACTGAGTGCTGGGCTGTTTCCTGCAGCTCTAGGGCTGTTACTGAATACCTGCTTTGTGCCTCTGTCCATCATGTTAGGGCCTCTAGGACTGTTTTGTTCCAGTTCATCCTAGATCACCAACTTGTCTCAGCTCCCAAGGGCAGTCAGGAACTGAATCGTAGATCTGGCACTCCATAGTTGGGCACTTGGGATATTCCCTGTAAAAATATTTTTGGTCCTTAAAGGTCAGAGCTGGGCTGAGAGGAGAGCCCAGTAAAAGGTAGGTTGGACTAAGGGTCTCGGGGCTGACTTCTTCCCCATGGCCTCTCCTAGGACCGAGAGGAGCGGAAACTGCTGCTGGACCCTAGCAGCCCCCCCACCAAAGCCCTCAATGGAGCCGAGCCCAACTACCACAGCCTGCCTTCCGCTCGCACAGATGAGCAGGCACTGCTCTCCTCTATCCTCGCCAAGACAGCCAGGTGGGCATCACAGGACCAGGCCTAGGGCAGAACTCCTTCATCCATGTTAAAGGCTGGGATAAGCAAGCCAGGCCCAGGACATGGGGGATGAGATAAGTTCTGTGGGGAGAGGTGCCTCTGGACGCAGCCCTGCTCCAGTGGGCAGGCAGGGACACTGGTGTCGGATTGCTCTGGAGTTGGCACCTGGCAGGGAATCTTGTTTGTCCCTCTCGGAAGCACCTGTCATGTCCTCTCTGCCTCCTCTCCCCAAAGCAACATCATCGACGTGTCTGCTGCAGACTCCCAGGGCATGGAGCAGCATGAGTACATGGACCGGGCAAGGCAGTACAGGTGAGCACCTGGCCAGCTTGGCTTCCTCAGGCTCCTTGGGCTCCTCCCTTCTCCTCGCGATCTAGCTTTGGAGCCTGGGCCCCAGTCCAGGCTCCTCATTTGGGTGCAGCTCAGGAGAGTGGCCACAGATCATTCCGGCGCCTCCGTAAATATTCATGTCTACCCAGTTTGCCCTGTGACACTCAAGGGTGTGTAGACCAAGGGAGGTGGGCCCCGAACTAAGGCCCCTGTCACCTGCCTCTTTGGTCTGAGGGAGTGAGGCTTGCCTGGGCTGGCTGGGCCGACTGTGGCCTGACTGCTTGTCCCCCGCTTCCCCATCTCCCTCTTGGCCAGCACTCGCCTCGCTGTGCTGAGCAGCAGCCTGACCCATTGGAAGAAGCTGCCGCCGCTGCCATCTCTCACCAGCCAGCCCCACCAGGTGTTGGCCAGCGAACCTGTCCCCTTCTCCGACTTGCAGCAGGTGAGCCACCCCTCGCCCTGTGCCTGCCTGCCCTGCCCAGGGTGTGGCAGAGGGTTCACCTTCTCTGCCACAGAGGAGATAGGGAGCCTGGTAGCTCGGGAACCCTGCTCGCTCCCACCTCTTACTTTTTATCTCCTCCTCATTTCCTTTTTTCAGCCTTCATTCTTTTTCTACCCTTTGTTCTTTCCTTCTGTCTTGCCTGTCCCTGCCTTTGTCTTTGGCTTCCCAGCCTCTGTCATTCCCTCCTCTCCGGCCCTACAATCTCCCTGCCCCGATTCCGGATCTCCCTTCTCACCTGTCTCTGTTTCTCTCTCCCCGCCCTGTCCCTCTGTCTCAGGTCTCCAGGATAGCTGCTTATGCCTACAGTGCACTTTCTCAGATCCGTGTGGACGCGAAAGAGGAGCTGGTTGTACAGTTTGGGATCCCATGAAGAGAGGGGGTCCCTGGACAGCTCTTCTTCTCTTCTCTTCACCCCGTCTCTACCCTGCCCACCCTGGCCCCCAGCCTCACTGCGGCTTATACAGTACCCTAATCTGCTACTAATCACCGAAGAACATGGAGGAGAAGAGAGGCTAGAAGCCTGAGCAAGTGAGGATGGAGCAAGGGAGGGTAGAACCATTTTGGACTGGCCTTCAGCGCCCTGGCCAGGGGTGGAGTTGGGGTGAAAGGGACAGGGCCTGGTAGGTCTTCATCGTCACTGAGAAGGTGGAGGTGCCGGTGCCAGGGTGATCACTTGGGGGCCCTTGGGGGCCCCCTGCCCACCCTTTCTTGGCCTCACTCCTGTCCCCACTCCCTGACTTGGTGCTCACATGCACCTCACGAGGGCTTGTGACCAGGGTCTGACGAGCTTGAATTTGGATGAATTGAGTTTGTATTTCTAGCACCCTGGGTTTTTACATTTTTGGGGTTTTTGGTTTTGTTTTGGTTTGTCATGCTCGATAAAGGAAGTGTATCCATCTGTGTGCTGGTTCCAGCCCCTCTGTCCTGCCCACCACCCTACTACATACTTCTGGCTACTCAAGTCCATGAGCAGTGAGGTGGACGAGGGGGAGGGCGTGTCTTCTAGGGGTACTAAAAGAAATCCAAGAGATAGGGGCTCAGACTCTCAGGTCTTAGCTGAGACTTAGCCTGGGCTAACCTCAGATTGGATGATAAGAGTGCACTTATCCTTCCTTCAGTGATGGGGACAGTGTCAAAGCTGAATGGACTTGAATCTGAGGCAGCTGTCACTGTCGGGGGCCGTGTCTCAGGCTCAGTGGAATTACCGGGAAGCCCATTGAGGGGGCGGAGGTAGGCAGGCAGATCAGGAGCACCTGGTACGGAGTTAGCAAACACAGTTTCAAGCAGAAGATCCTCTTTACCAAATGAAATCTTAAGCAGAATCATAACATGTAAAACATGAGAGTTGAAACTACTCTGACATGATTGAAGTTGGGGGCCAGAGCTCCCAGCCCATCTTCTTGGCCTCCTGTCATGGAGGCCTCTGAGGCATCTCCACAGAACCTTGGTGCTCCTGAAGCCACTCTGACCCCAGGATATCTGAGCTGAAGAGTGAAAAAGGCCCAGCGAGGTTAGGTAAGTTTCCCAAGGCCAAGCAGTGAGCCTAGGTCTCCTGTGTCTCAAGCCAGCAGGCCTTTCCCTCCACTGCCTCCTGGTTTCAGTGAAGTAAGACCAGAGCTACTGGCAGTTGCCTGAGTTGGATGGGCATCTGTACATGGTGCAAGGGACTTCTCATCTGCTGAACAGCTCAAATCATTTATTGTCAAACCAAACTGACCATCTTCGGGCCTTTAGGACTGCTGGGGTCCTGGGAGCCTCAGGATACGTTGTGCTTGACCCGGACCTTCTTGGGTTTGATGTTCATGCGTTTCCACACTTCAGCTGTTGTGCGGTCTGCTTTGGTCACCCCACTGAAGTCGAACGTGGTGATACGGGGCAGGGTGCACAGCACATACTGCCTGTGGGGAAGACTTGGGCTGGGGGCCAGTCCCTCTACTACAACCCCTATTCCCCTCCACCAGTTGCTGCTCTCTCCCCTGACTGCAAGGAATGGAAGGACTTGAGTAGAGTTTGGAGGAGACTGAGTTTACCCTGACTGACAGCAAGAAATGCCTAAAGCTCTCTGCTCGCTCCCCTGTTCCAAGCATAGCAGAAGGACATGTTGCATTTCTTGTCTCCCCTCCTCCTTTCCTTCAGGGGAACCCAGCTGGAGCCTACCTCCAGGGTAGGGCACTTACCTGTACCCCTTCTCTTCCTCTATGGGGTTCCCATGGAGTGTCAGGCTCCGGAGCCGAGGGAGGACAGCCAGCTTGTTCACCTCTCCAAGGTGCTGGATGCTGTTGCCATGGAGATAGAGGACACTGAGGTTGAAGAAAGTTGTCAGGATCTGTTGGGGAAGGCAACCAAAAGCTAGACCGGACAGAGCCCTGTATCTAAGCTCAAGGCTGACTTGTGGGCAGAGAAGGAAGAGTTTGGGGGACAACTTCTCTTCCCCCTACCCCAGCCAGACTGGATTGACTGCAGCCTACCTGCATTTACCTTTGAAGGGGTATAGGGGCACCACACTGACACAGAGCTGTGATTTGAGGGGCAGGAGATATGGGCCTGGGTCCTAGCATTGCCTCTGACTTGCCAGAAGCCTGGGCTCTTCTGCCTCTCCTCTGAGCCTTAGCTGCCCCTTCACTGAAGACCTTTCCTGCCTAGGTGATCTAAGATACCATCACAGCAGTGGACAGAGCATCATGCTAGGTACGTAAGAACTTTTAATATAGTAGTTTAATTAAGGTCCGGGCACCTGGGGAACAATTTCTAAGTCATACTCTAGCTCCTTTCCCTTCTAACACAGATCTTGGACAAAAAGGGGCCAGTGTTGTTTCTTCTTAAAACTTGAGTCTGAGTTCATGGAAAGTAAATGCTGTACTTATAGAGTACCTGCCTCTATAAAGGAACATGGCACAAAGCAGTGGGTGCCTCATGAGAGCTACAATTTTATCTCAGCTTCCTATTGCAGGTTGCTTTTCATACATTCTCATTTAATCCTCACAAAACCTTTATAATGCTTACATTTTGTCCCCATTTTTCAGACAGGGAGGCCGAGGTTTTGAAAAGTTAGGTAGCTTGCCCAAGGGTCAGTAAGAGGCAAATCAAGGACTTGAACCTCTATGTGTCTGAGCCCATGATCGAGTGCTTTGCAGGGCACCGTGCTGCCTCACTACTGCCTTGATAATGTGGGAGGTGGAGAGACTGGGAGGCTGGACGAGGTGGCTTCAGGCCCACCCTGACTGGACTCACAGGGTCAATGCAAGTCAAGTCGTTGAAGGACAGGTCGATCCAGGCCAGGTTCTCCGGATGCTCCAACAGCTGTGAAACCACATGGTTGAAGTCTCTCAGGTCATTGAGAACATTATTATTCAGCCACAGGGACTGGGTCATTGGCTTCCCTGATTTTGAGTGCCTTAGTGGTCGTAGCCCTGTCCTTGGCTCCTCGCTTAACAGATCTGTGGGGACAAAGTGAGGTATGTCATCATAGCTTTTCTGGCTCTGGAGGGTGGGAAGGGACAGCTGGGAGGATTTGCAGCCTAAGCTGGAGCTGGAGGAGCTGGCAGGGCTGTCACCCCATGCTTGTGTCTAGTGAGACTCTATCCACTCAGCTCAGGGCCCTGTTAAACAGGCCCTGGCAGCCAGTGAGCTTGGATTAGGGGCCAGATACTGTCCATCTCAAACTCTTGGTTTGGGTCACATGTTCCTTAAATGTCTACTGTATCTTGGGTAGTCTGTATACTGCTGTGTGGGGGGAATTTTATAGATGAGGAAACTAAGAACTAGAGGTGTTGGGCTTGAACCAATTGTTTTTTAAGCAAGATATTGATACCACAGAATTCAGAATTATTCACTGATAGAGCCCATAGAATTCACTCAGTGTAACCCACTCTTTTATTAATACTGAGCAACTACTATGTGCTGGATACTGGATATACAATGGTGAACAACAATGAGAGATGGTCTGTACCAAGCTCTGTATGCATAATAGAAATGGAGCAGATGTTTATGCCTTGGAGGAGCTCATCTGGCGAAATGGAAACAAATGGTCAGTAGAGGATGACTGATGTTATTCAAGTTGTGGAAGCATGGAAGGGGGGCTCCTAACTCAGGCTGGGGGCTCAACACAGTTTCCTAGGGAAGGTGAAACCTGAACTGGATATCTCAGTGGATTAGATGTGAGTCAGGCAAGGAAGGGTGGAAAGGGTGAGAAGAGCATGAGCAAAGGCACAGGCTGAGTATCTTAGACTTTATCCTGTAGGTGATGGGAAGCCACTGGAGGGCTGAAAGCAAAGGAGATGATTCAGATCTTTCATTTCAGAAAGACCACTCTGAAGCTTTAGCGTGGAGTATGGATTTTAGGGAGTGGGTGGGACTGGAAAAGAAATTTGGCCCTTTCGCACATCCAAGCAAGGATGAGAGGGATATACAATCAGCATAACTTGATGGTTGACTGGATGTAAGGGTAGAATAACATTCAAGGGTGTTGCCCAGTTTCTTGGTGACTGAGTGGATACCAGTTCCATGAACTGATATGGGATTAAGAAAAGGAGAAACACGGTTGGGAAGGTGATGAGTTCAGGCTTGGCCTTGGTGTGTCTGAGGTTCCTATAGTACAAGAAAGTGGAGAAGCCAAGTTAGCAGTTGGATATGAAGATCTGAAGCTCAGGAGACACAGACTTGAGAAGCATTAGCATAGAGTGTACACATGTTAGAGAAACAGGAGATTGCTCAAGGAGAGTGAGGGTACAGAGGAGGGAGGAGGAGAAAGGGGAGGGTCCATTAAAGAAGTTAAAGAATAACCAGGGCAGGATGGGAAGAACCAGAGGATAGTTTTAAAGATGCTCAGGGAGTCCATAGTTGATAGGGGTGAGTTTCAGGGAGATGAGCTGAAAAGTAATTCTGGCAACTCAGAAGTTCCTGGTGACCCTGGTGAGGGCTATTTCAATGAAATGGCAAGGGCCTGGGGACAGAAGCTAGCTTGGAGTGAGTTCAAAAGTGAATGGAAGGTAAGCAGGTGGTGTGGATAATGGCCTCATAAAGTTTGGTTGAGGAGGAGGATAGGAAATAGAGCAATGTCAGAACCTATCTTCATGGACCCCTGCCCTTCTTTTTTTGACAAATAAGATCCAGGGAGAGGCTAGGCCCTGCTCAAGCTCACAGTCTGTCAGTGACAGACCCAGAACCACACACCAGCTCTGGTTGAGGTGACTATATTTTTCCAATTGCCCCATGCCTTTGGTTACTAGTCTAAAACTGCCTCTGGGGAAGGAAGTACTTAGCATCTGCTGAACTGGGCAGGTCATCTTCACCCTCCCCTTAGCTCTTACTGGACCCACTTTTCTATTCCCATCCAACTCGATCTTCTTCTCAGCTGCAGGTCAGGCAGCATCCACCAGATGGCTCTCTTAGTCCTGGAGTGAGCAGAACTCACAATTGGGGCTGGAGGGTGGGGGAAGATGGCAGGAGGGTACTGGAGCAGAGTACCCCACTCATGAATAAAGTCCTAATCCTGACCCCCAACCTCACACCTGATTGTGAAGCCTAAAATGAAATAACAAAGATGAATAAAAGTTAAGATCCAAATAAGCCCACATATGGATAAGCATCCAGCCTGATGAGGCAGCAGCTTGGGGGACTGGCTCAGTGGGAGCCACTGGTGGGATGAGCCTAAAACTTGAGGCTGTGTGGGGCTCCTACTACCAAGGGTGGATTAAGGGTGTCCAGGCTGCTACAGGTTACTGTTCTTGGCTCCTCCAGGGCCCTGTGCTGCCTGAGGATCAGTTGAAGCTGCTCTGTTTAGAGAAGGTCAAGGCAGGTCTGGAAACTGGACCACAAATATGAACACTCAGAGAACTGGGGGTTTTCTAGCTTCAGGGAGAGCTGGGGAACACCTGATTCTGTTGTCAATCTCCGAAGAGTACCATGCTACTTTTCCCACGTGTCTCCAGAGGGCAGGAGTTAGTCTGATATAAACTATCTTGTGTCATTCCTCACCTCGTAATGGAAGGGGTTGGTAGGTGTTTTGCGGTATGGGACTTCCTTACCTGTAGGTTTGTGAGCAGAAGTTAGAGGACTATGGGCTGGAGGTAAATTGGATGTTTTCTAAAGTCACTGCCATTTCAGATTCTATGATCCATATATTGATTAATCTAGCAAATAGTATACCAAGTACCCCCAAACTCTACCCTGTCTTCTAATCCCAATTTTAAGTAAGTGCTCCATGTGCTCTGGGGAACCTGAGGGGACTGGCCTTTTGGGGCTTAGATGTGTCTCTCCCTCTCCCCTCAGCAAGGAGCATCACGCCTGACATCTATGTACAAATGGAGAGAGAAGTGTTTAATATTGGTAGGTGCTCAATAGTAACTATTGAGTGAAAGACAGGGCATCTGTACAGATTGTTTTGTGTTGTGAAGTTGGCCTTGGTCATAACAGCTTGTCTCATTCTGAGGACACCATAGAGGTCAAAGCTACATCTCCCCACTCAGAGCTGAGAATTCCCAGGGTATGCGGGAGCCCTACTTCCCTTCTTCTCTGTCACCTTAGCTATCTTGTACCTGGCCATTATTGCAGCTAAAAACCTGTGAAACATGGACTATCAGAAGTGCTGTGTATAATAAATAAAGGTCACGGTAGGTGGCTGTGTGCTCATGAAAGAACAAACGTGAGTTACTGTTGTGGCTGATGCCAACCCAAGTAGTAAGTACCCTGAACCCAAATCCAACTAGTATCCAGTACCTTTGAAAACTACTCGCCTGCTTCCTGAACTTAAAGGTGGCCACTGACTGCCCAAGAGAGAAGACCAAAGCCAGATAATGGTTCCAGGATTTGTTGATGCCGCCGTGTTCTGTGAGGGCAGATGTACTGATGCGTTTATGAGAGACCAGATAAAAAAGCCAGGGACATGGCTAGGAAGCAGCATACTCCCTTGAGAATATGATATTGCTGAGAGCTTCCCTCTATCCTCACCTGAGCGGTACTAGCTGCCCATTTACAAACACCTTGGATGATAAAATGGGCATGGGCACAGGCAGTGCTGGAACCTGCAGTAAGTGTGGGTGATAATGGAATAAACCTGGATATGACTGGAATGAATATAAAATTTGTCAATAAATATTTAAATAGGAAACATACCAGTCTGTGAGCAACAAGACCCTGCATATTTTACCAGTGATCAGAAAAGCCTTGTGTCCTCAGAGAAGAGAAGGTACTGCCAGTTGGTTGGGACTCTATAGTGGCCTGTGTTTTCCTTTCATTAGTCTCTTCTCTCCAGGTAAAAAAAATGGAGAATAAAATTTTCTTCCACCTGACTTTCCTGCTGTAGCCTGGCTGCTTTTGAAGGTCATTAGTTACCCTGAGAGCCCCTTGGTTCCTTTCAGATTTGCTGCTAGTTTTTAAAAATGCCAAACCCTTCCACTTCTACCACCTCACCCACTACTCCTCCCCATAATGACAACAAAAATCTGTGAGTGTATGGGAAGAATCTCTTTAGGCTTTTAGTATAACATTGGTTTTTCTCTAGGGACCACACCCAGCCTGCTGCCATGGTGAGTGGAGTGTTGTGCTCTGTAGGCTGACCTTGGGTCACATGGATGCTTCGGAAGGAGTAGTCAAGTGGGGGCTCTTGCACTGAAGTGTTCATATAGTCGCGTTTGTTCATAGCTCAGGCCATCATTTCTCAGGTGTAAGCATGGGCCCTGGGAATCCGGGTTCAGCCTGGGAGGACAGAGAAGGACTGGTGTTCCAGGTACAAGGGGCATCGGCCCTCACATTTCCCCATAGCTCTCCCAACCCTGCTTTCTCTATTGCTTGCCTGGATTTCTCCTTTAAGATACTAATCATGATTCCTGGCATTTGTAGGGCACTTCCTACCTCCCCGAGCACCTTCACATCCCTTAGACCTCATGAGTAGTTATAACACCAATTTCTACTTTCCAGAAGAAGAATCTGAGACCTCAGGGTGAAAGCACTTTGCCCAAAGGTAAGCCAGTGAGTCAGTTGTGGACTGCAATCATAGTCTCCTGAATCCTACTCTGAGGTCCTTTCTGCTGCTCCACAGTAGTTATCATGGAGGCTGTCTTGATACCTAGCCTCTGGTGACATCAACTAGGCTATTATTTTGCTTAACAAACCCCCGAAAGCCTACACTGGATCTGGATCTGACAGCCCTTTGCAGTCTGACCTAGATGGGGATTTGCTGTCTTTGCTCACCTTGTCTGTTGGCTCCATTATCTTTCCATCCAAAGACCCTACTTTAAGCTACATCCTGAATGTAGTCATAAATATATAAATGCACATACACATAAAACCAGTCTACCTCACTCTCACTCACCTGTCACTGATGCCTGAAACTCCACCATTAGGGATTCATTCCTTTGAGTTCAGGGATTTTTCCCTGTTAAAATGGAAATACCCCCTGAGAGGGGTGAACACAGTGTTATCAGTCATTTACAATGTGGTGTGAATTGTCCTATCAGATCCTTTCCAATTTGTTAGCACAAGTAAAGCTGAGAATTTCTCAAGACACTGGGCAGAGCCATGAGAACACCATTCACCTGGGAAGAGAGCTGACAGTAGTTGAGGGGTTTTGCATGTGACACAAACAAAAGACAGACTGACAAGTACATGTCCCAATCAACCTCCCCTTCTCACTCCAACCACTGCTGTCACCTATACATTTACCACTTCACTTCCTTTCCAAAAGGATTTGAGGTAGTTTACAGTATAACACACTGATAAAACAGGATGATTTGTAGATGAGCTGTCCAACAGAAATACAATGAACATCACAAAAAGACACATGTATAATTTTTTCCACATATGTAACTTAAAATTTTCTATGAGTCAAAAAAAAGGTGAAGTTAAGTTTAATAATATATTTTATTTTGTCCAATATATCCAAAATATCATTTAACAGATAATTTGATTAAAAATTGAGATACTTTACACTCTTAGCACATCCCTGTTGGGACAAACTACCTGTCAAGTGCTTGATAGCCACATGTGACCAGAGGCTACAATACTAGAAGGTACAGATAAAGAAAATGAAAACATGGAAGAGAAAGATTAGAAGCCAGAATAAAGGAAAAGAGAGAGATAATAGGGAGTTAGGAAACTAAGACTATTATTCCTGAAATTCCTGACAGCCAAAGCAAAAGGGGAAACCTTAGGGTATGTGGTTCTTGTCACTTGATTCAAAGAAATGAATAGTTTGTATACAGAGATAATGAAATTTACAAATGTTCTTAAAATGGAATTTCTCTTAGAAACCATGGACCTGATAGCTTGTTAATTCAGCCTAAGCTTAATATAGTTCAAGTAAATTCCTTTTTTGGTAATTTGACATATGCAGGGATAGAGTTTTAACAGGTTTAGGGCAATGGAAAGTGACTGTCTTCCTCTCAAAAATCAGCAGTCTCAAATGAGCTTTGGGGAAGCGCTGGCTTGAGTCACTTCACAGCTAAATCCTGAAAAGTGTGGACTGGCCTGCTGGACATGGGTTGTTGACTGAGGAGACCTGAGTCTGGATATCAAATCCATAGACACAACAAAGAACATGTTATTCTTTTGTAGAAATAGGCGAAGCTGGCTTGCGTTTTCACCTAGAACCGTTCCACTGGAGCACCCATAACAGGTTTGATGCCTTCAAGCAGGACTGGATACTTTCTAAAATTGAGTCCTGGATTAGGACCCAGGAGTTCTGCGATACTGAATTTTAGCTTAAAATGTGTAAGGGCAGATTTTTACCGTTAGTCTCCTTGACCATCAGTGTGGTTCCTAAGAACTTCTGATTTTATGTGTAGCACCAGCACCTGATGCATTCTTCTGGATGAGCTAGTATTAAAAATGGAGTCCCAAATAGCTGGATAAATTTGCCCATTGGAAAGGGTTAAGAGTCTTCTCCATTTAAACAGTAGCTCAGGCTGTGAGCTAGTGTTGTGTCTTATTCATCATCTAACACAGAACCTGGCTTACAAAAGGCACTCAGGAAATGTCTGTGGGAGGAATGAATGAGACACTGCCAAATACTCTGTTTTGGGAGTGTTGATGCTAAGCTGCTCTTTCTAACAATTGGCTCTGAGGTTCAGCTGTTTCAGTCCACACCTCATTCACAGTCAGATATTTAATTCAATTCTTCAGACATTTGTTCAGAGTGCTTGCTGCCCTGTGCCTGACGGGAAGGAATGAAGCCAAGATACAAATAATAGAACCATGTCTGTCATGAGAACAGAAAAGCCTGCTGGGTTTCTACTGATTATGGAAGACCGGCCTGCATCCAGTCTAAGAAACAGCTGCCTATTTAGTGAATACTCTCATGTTTCAATACTCAGCTCTAGTGTACCCTCTTCGATGGAGACTTTCCGGATAAAATTGATCATTGTGTCCTGTATTAGATGGATTCCCTTGATGAACCCTATCATGGTTTCCCTTTTATCTGTCTCTTTTAACTATAACTTTGTAGTCCCATCCACTGTGATGCAGGGTTCACCCATGTGACTTACTTTGGCCAACAGGATGCTGGTAAACATGAAGCAAACAGAAGCTTAGAGGACTTGCCCTCTTGCTCTTTGCCAGTGCCAAGAGAACATGGCTAGCCTGCTGGAGGGATATGAGAAATCTGTGGATGAGATATATGAAAAGAGGGCCGGTGGTTCCAGGTGAGGCCATTGTAGTCTAGCCTATAACCAGCCTACCCTAAGTCAAAATCAGGAAAGTTACCCAACCCACAGGTGACTGCAAGCACACGACCAGTCAAGACCAGAAGAAACATGGCTGACTCAGAGGCTTGGAAGCAATAACAAATGCTTATTGTTTTAAGCCACCCTGTTTTTGGACTGTCTGTTATTACAGCAACAGCTAACTGATACATGCTCCCAACTGTACTTTGAATAAAATTTCATCACAACTTGTTTCCTCATCTGTAAAGTGGAGACAAACCATATCTTGACAGCTGTGTGTCCTGTAGCAGGTATTCAATAAATTGAAGTAGTTACTTTCTGTACTTATTTATTTATAACCTATTTCCTGTTCCCTCCCTGTAAGTTTGAAGAGAGGGACAGAAGTCAGACTTCTTTCTCTCTTCCCACCATTCCCCTCCACTGAGCCTGAGTATTCTCTCAAGGCTTGATGGACAAATGGATAAATGGAAAAATGAAGGAATAAATGAATGATGTCTTAAAGGTGTCACATAGTGAGTCTGCCTGCTGGGGAGAACTGACAAAGCCTTGCAGTTGCCTTACTCACTCCAGTGGCTGTCTTTCTGGAGTCAGTCTTTCCCAACTGCTATTCTGCCTCATGACCAGGAGCTTGTCAGATCCTAGAGCCTTCCTCATCTGTCCATTCATCACTGACTTGACAGGGTTAGGGGCTTACTTGCCTTGTTCTGGAATTTTTCTTTTATGAATTGGAAATATTTTTTACTGATTTTTAAAAAATTTTTAAAGTTAATGTAATAGCTGAATAAAGTCAAACATAGAGAAGTACATCAGGTAGAAACTGAAAGTGAATCTCCATCTCACTCTCCAAGAACACTCATGATTAACAACTTGGGAATTTAACTTCCTAGAAGACATGTATTATACAATTATGTATATTTTAAAGTAAACACATGCTGTCTATTCCTTTGCAAACCTATTTTTCTCTTTTCAAATTATTGTAGACTCATCCTTTTTAATAGCTGCAGAGAAGTCCACAGAATCTGTGTGTATGTTAACTTTACTTAATTTAACTTCAGTGACCCAATGCCAAGTTGATGATGGAAGTTTGTTTTCAGTTTTTGGAAAGTACTAGCAATTGGAATTTGATTTGTTCATAGCCTATCCCTTCCTTCTTTCAGGTAAGTAGCAACAGGATGGGTCAGGAAGCTTTGAGGAATAATCAGATGAGGAGATCTGACAGAGATTCAATGGCCTGGCCTAGAGAAGGTTTCTATTTATGGGCTACAGGTGGAGAACAAATCAAAGAATGTCATGAAAAGTCTGCCACATAGTCTAATGTTTTCTGGAAGTTATATTCCCAGGTGCCAAAGGGAGGCCCCAAATTCAGCCTGGCTCCTGCCTACCTCTCTACATCTATCTCCTAGCCTCATTTCCAATTCTGCACTCCAGCCAAATGCAACAACTCAGAGTAAGTTCCCTGCACCTGCTTCTGGGCTTCTCTGCTTGGCATAGAGTTTCTTCTTCTGCCTTGCTAATTCTTAACGACTCTGCTCATGTTTCCCCTTCTCTGAGGAGCCTACCCTCATGAGTAAGTCTGAGTGTGGAACTTCTCTTCTGGACTCCCATAGCACCCTATATTTACCCTTGGTAGCACTCATAACACTAGGATTATCTCCTTACTAGCTGTGTGAACATAAACTCCACCATGGTAGGAGCCACGTTTTTCTCGTAGTTGTATCCATACAGTAGTGGCAGGTACTTAACAGATACGTTAAACATTGCAACAGTGAATAATACTATAAGGAGAGGGACATGAGGTTGCTATAATTGAGGGATCTGAGCTGGTCTGGGCAGTCAGGGGAGACATTCCTAGAGAAGGGACTGAGAGACATCTGAAGGGTAAGTACAAAAAAAAGATGAACATTGCAGGAAGAAATAACAGCACTTGCAAAGGCTCTGTGGGGAGTGGTTACTTGGAAATTTTGAAGACCTTAAAGAAGGCCATATAACCGGAGGGGAGAATGGGAGGGAAACGTATGGTCAGACTGGAGGTTGGAGAAGTGGGCAGGAGCCAAACTGAGATGTTGCTTGATGCTAAGGGCAACAGGAAGCCCAAGGTATATTTTTAAATGGGGCTGTTGTAGGGGAAGTGAACAATAGTAATTTGCATTTTGAAGGATAACTCTGGTTGTAGTATGCAAAATGGCTGAGAGGGAAGGCAGGAAGGATGTGATGATGGTGGTAGAACTAGAGAAGAGATACTTAGGAAGTAAAGCTGACAGGATTTTATGATGGATGGGAAATGGAAGAGGTATTAAAAATAACTTGGTTTTCTGGCTTCTGTAGTGGTGGATAGAGGTGAGAACACTGGAAGAGATCCAGGCTTGAGACATAGAGATTATGAGTTGAGCTACAGACATGTTGAATTTGGGTGTCTTTGAGATATCCTGCCCAAGATGTTGCAGAGGCAATGGGTTATATATCTGGAGCCTAGAGATGAGGACTGGGCTGGGCTGGAGATACGCACTTGTGTACATCTGCATATAGGTGGTAAATGAAGTTGTGGATGGGAATACCGAAGAAGAGAATCTCGAGTGAGGTGGGAATTGGGCCTAGGACCAAGGCTGGGGGAGCTTTAAGACAGTAAGTGGACTGATCAGGGCCAGCTAGGAGCCAGCCAGAAGCTAGCTAATCATAGCAGCATCAGACATGGGTGCTGTATTAGCCAGACTGTTTATTTCCTACTTAGTTAAATCTGTTTAATTCCCATTCTCTTCAGTCTCTCTAGTTCCCTTTCCCAAAAACTTTCAAGGAAGGATTTAAAACTCATTCACACTGAACTGTAAATAACCCAATGTAGGCTATGCAGGTTTCTTTTCCCTGGGGCAGTTTAACCTACTACTTTGAACAAGTCCTTAAGCTACAGAGGCTGTAGGCTCAAGCTAGTGACTTGGCTGGAAGTTGGCAAACTGGGGTCTAGTCTTAGCTGTCACTGACTTAGTGTGTGGCCTCTGGCAAGTCCCTGCCCCTCTCTGGGTTTCAGTTTTCCAATCTGTGAAATGGGGATAAATATCATTGCCTCACAAAGCTCAAAAGAGAAACTGGATGTGAAAGCACTGGGTAAATTACTAAATGTAACAGATCTGTCATGAAGACTATAAAAGGGAATAAACTCTAACTGCAGAACTTCGAGAAATGGACCACGGAGAAGGTGTAGGAAGGAGAAGAGGCAATTTAGGGGCTGGACCCCTAATGAGTGTGTGTGGGAATATCCTGTTGACTTCCTGAAGAGGAGGCCCTACCCTGGGGTCTTCCTGCTTGGAAGGAACGGAGCAGTTCAAGCCCCAGAAAGTTTCTTACATCTCCAGGATTAGAGGCTGTGATTTACTCTAATCCTACTCTCATGTCTTGAAGAGGTTCTCAGTTGATCAGAGAAAAACCAACCCGAAGTCTCAGAGCGCTCCACATCTCCCGGGATGTGTCAGGGATTTGAGACAGTTTTAGGGGAACCCATGTTTGTGATGGGGGAGGTTCTTAAGCACCCCCAAATCTTAGGAGTATGTTATCTCAGCCTTCCCTCCCCTCCCCGCTCCAGTCTATTCCATATGGGTTCGTGTCCTGTTATCTGTGAAAAGTAGTAAGGGCGGGGGAGGAGTCTCAGGTCCCCGAGAAAGAAGTTCTTAAGGCTTTCTGTGTGTCCCTCCCCTCTCCATAAAGTTCTTGTCCCCTAGAGGTGGTTTCCTGTTTTCCTGCCCGACTCACCCGCAGTTGCTTCCCCTCCAGCCTCGGCGTCCCAGCTACCTTAGGGACAACTCCATGGTAACTACTCTTGCCACCACGTCTGGTTTGAGCGCTGGAGGCGCTGCCGCGATGCCTACCGGGAGCTGTAGCTCGTCAGGGACGGGGCTCCGAGGCCGCGGGCGGTGCTGGGATTTGTAGTTGTCTTTGCTCTTAAGTCGAGGCCAGGGTCCGGAAGTTGTGGCACCCTTTGTTCCTTCCCAGAGGCCCTCTCGACTTCCTTCTCCCGGTCTTCCAGCGTGCTCTTGCGTGCGACGCCCGCCGACAGGGGCCAATCGCAGGGCCGCGCGAGGGGGCGGGGCCATAGTTTAAACTAATTGTGCGCTCACAGCCCTGGCGCGAGCCCGCGACCAAGGCGATCCGGGGGAAGCGAGAGGCGGAGCCGGAGCGCGCGGCCAGGTAACCGGCGTGGGCCCGCTGCTGAAGTGCGGCCTGGGCGCCCCCAGGGATGCCGGGGCCTAAAGGGGATGCTGGAGAGGCGGGTGCGAGCGGAAGGCCTCCTTCGTAACCGAGGCTGACTGGGGAGAGTCTATGGAGGGTAAGATTTGGAGAGGGCAGTTCCCGAGGGGGAGGTGCGGGGCCTGCTTAGGGGGAGGGTCTGTTTGGGGGCGTGTCTGTGGAACTGTTTGAGAGCGACGGAGAATGCCCCGAAAGACTCTTGAAAGGCTTATCGGTGAGGGTTCCTGTGGTGGGAAGTCTTCGCCTGTTATTGTTAATAATAGTGGAAATAGTAGTAGTAGACATTTTCTGAGCACCAGCTACGTTTCAGACATTGTTGCCACACCCTTTATGTGGGTCATCTTTTAAGTATGCCTAACCTCATTACATTTTATTGCAGGTGGGGAATCTGAGGTTTATGTTCAATTTGACCAGGGTTACGTTGCTAGTGCGTGGTTAGCTATACTGGGGCTTTGTCGGAGGGCCTAAATAGTAGGGGAGGGGCTGTGTTGAGGGTGTGCGTTTTCTTGGACGAGTCATTTTATTTATTCTGAGTCTCACTTTTCACATCTGATGTAAGCAACGAATTTGCCTGCCTTACCTACTTTCCTGGGGTTGTTGTGAGGGTCAAATCAGGTAAGATGTTTCTTGGTAGCATCTTGGAGAGAACAAATGACTAAGTGATGTGACTGTATGAAGGTTGTTGGTGGAAGAGAGCCCAGCTGTGTTGTTGCTCCCTCCTCTGGACTCCCTCTTTTCCTTAACCCCGAGGTAGTGCTTTTCATCTGCTGTTCAGAGTGTCTGCGTGTTTGTCTGCCCTACTAGATAGAGACAGTGTCTTTTGTCCCTGTATCCTGATGCCTGTGCAAGATATGAAATGTATCATGGCCATTAACATGCTTTTAAATGAATGTGCTTTCTTGGGCTTAAAGGGGATAGGATCGTGGCTTTCTCATTTTTATTTAGTGGCTTTTGAGCCTCTGAATAGTGCTGTCCTCTTACATGGAATGGCACTGCCTCCAGAAAATGTGGTAATACTTGCTTTAATCCATGTTTCCCTTTCTCTGGGGTCTGTTGCCTGGTCATGTGTTTCTAAAGCTCTGGATTGTCAAGTGTGGTGAGCAGAAACCTTTGATGGTAAGAGAATTGGGGCTCTCTACCTTGTGGAGATCTTTACTGCCATGAGCATAATGGAATCTGCAGGGAATGCTCTGATCAAGTAAGGCAACTTTCAACCAGCAGGAATGAGTGTGTGTATTCCCTCCCTCTCTGTTCCTGTGTGGTATTTTCTCCTTCAGAGGAAGAAGCACATACTTCTCTGTAAAAGCTGCCAAAGTACTCTTTTCTTGGCTTAAGTTCAAGCAAATGATGACTAATTGTAAAACCTGAATCTTAATCTAAACCCCAAAACTAGAAGATCTTAACCAAAAGCTCATATAAGAAATATCTCTGTTTAGAATGCTCTTTTTTAAATTTATGGAATATGGGAGTGAGAAGAATGCCTTGAACTAAGTCAGTTCTAGAACTGTTAGGATGCGGGAAAGCCCTGCCGCGGATGGCTTAACAGAGCTGATCAGGGAATGTTTTGACAGCTGTGTCTAATTGATAAAACCTTATGGTCAGTAGGTATGTTGGGGGTCATTTATTTCAGTCTCTTACCCAGTGTATACTAAACATATCAAAAGGTATTGTCCAGGCTCAAAAAGAGCACTTCCAAAAATGAGATCACCCCCAAAGGTAGTCGATCTCAATGTTGAAGAGTTCTAATAAATAATAATTGTCTTGTGCTGTCAGTGATTACTTCATTTTACCCAAGTATGTTTACTGTTTGCTTTTTCACCATTACATTTTATTCCTTTTGTGTCAAATAGAAGTATGTATCCTTCAGATGTTTTCTTAGTTTGGTTCTGTTAGTGGTAAGCATTCTTTGTTGGAAAATATCCTTATTTCCTTGTCAGTCTTGATAGTTTAGCTGGGTACTAGGCCTCCAATTATTTTTTTCTCAGCACTTTGAAAATGTTATTTTACTGAAATTCTGGCTTTTTGTTGTTACTCTTAAGAACTATGATCACAATTTAACTATTATTTCCTTGTAGATAACCTGCCTTTTTCTCTGGTTTTTAAGATCCTCTTGTCATTTGTGTTCTGCAGTTTCATTACAGGGTGTGGATTTAATTTTATCCTACTGGGGGCTTATAGTGATTGCCTCAATCTGAGATTTCATCTTTCAATTTTGTAAGATTCCCAATCATCATCTCTATCTAAAAAAAAGAGTTTTTCCTGTGGTTGCCAAGGGGGCGGAGGGTGGGAAGGGATAGACTGGGATTTCAAAATTGTAGAATAGATAAACAAGATTATACTGTATAGCACAGGGAAATATATACAAGATCTTATGGTAGCTCACAGAGAAAAAATGTGACAATGAATATATGTATGTTCATGTATAACTGAAAAATTGTGCTGAACACTGGAATTTGACACAACATTGTAAAATGATTATAAATCAATAAAAAATGTTAAAAAAAGTTTTTCCATCTGTCACCAAAGATAATACATTATTATTGACTATATTCCTCACACTGTATAGTTCATACCTGTGACTCATTTAGTTTGTAACTGGAAGTTTATACCTCTTAATGTCCCTCACCTATTTGTGTCATCCTCTCACTCTGCTCCCGCAGCAACCACCTGTTTGTTCTCTGTATATATGACTCTTGTTCTGTTTTGTTTTTTTTCTTTTGTTTTTTTTAGGTTCCATATGTAAGTGAAATTGTACAATATTTGTCTCTTTCTGACTTCCACTTACCATAGTACCCTCTATGTCCATCCATGTTGTCACAAATGGCAAGATTTCATTCTTTTTTAATGTCTGAGTAATATTCCATTGGATATATGTGCCACATCTTTATCCACTCGTCTATCAACTGGCACTTAGGTTGCTTCCATATTTTTGCTGTTGTAAATAATGCTGCAGTGAACATAGTGGTGTATGTATCTTTTCAAATTGGTGTTTTCATTATCTTTGGGTAAATACCCAGGAGTAGAATTGCTGGGTCATATGGTAGTTCTATTTTTAATTTTTTGAGGAACCTCTAAATTGTTTTCTGTAGTGGCTGTGCCAATTTACATTCCCACCAACAGTGCTTGTGGGTTCCCATTTCTCCACATCCTCCCCAGGACTTGTTGTCTTTTTGATAATTGCCATTTTAACAGGTGTGAGGTGATATCTAATTGTAGTTTTGTTTTGCATCTCCCTGATGATTAATGATGTTGAGCATCTTTTCATGTGCCTGTTGGCCATCTGTTTGTCTTCTTTGCAGAAATGTCAATTCAGGTCTTCTGCCCATTAAAAAAATTTTTTTTTAATGCTGAGTTGTATGAGTTCTTTGTATATGTTGGATAGTAACCCTTTATCAGATAGATTGTTTGTGATTATCTTCTCCCATTCAGTAGGCTGTCTTTTAGTTTTGTTGCTAGTTTCCATTGCTATAAAAAGCTTTTTAGTTTGATGTAGTCCCATTTGTTTATTTTTGCTTTTGTTCCCTTGCCTAAGGAGACATATCAAAAAACCAAAACACAACAAAAAAAAAACCACATTGCTAAGACTGATGTCAAAGAGCATGTTTGCCTGTGTTTTCTTCTGGGAGTTTTCTGGTTTCATGTCTTACATTTAAATCTTTAATTCATTTTGAATTTATGGTTTCAGAAAGGTGAAAGTACTCCAACTTGATTCTCTTGCATATAACTGTCCAGTTTTTCCAACACCATTTATTGAAGAGGCTTTTACCAATGTATATTGTTGCCTCCTTTGTTGTAGATTAATTGCTCAAATAAGTGTATGTTCATCACTGGGATCTCTCTTCTGTTCCATTGATTTATGTGTCTCTTTTTGTGCCAGTATCATACTGTTTTGATTATTGTAGCTTGTAGTATAGTTTGAAATCAGGGAGCATGACACTTCCAGCTTTGTTCTTCAAGACTGTTTTGGCCATTCAGGGTCTTTTGTGTTTCCATGCAAATTTAAAACTTATTTCTTCTAGTTCTGTGAAAAATTCCATTGGTATTTTGATAGGGATTGCATTGAATCTATAGAATGCTTTAGGCTAGTATGGTCACTTTAACAATATTAGTTCTTCCAATCCATTACTATGGTGTATCTTTCTATTTGTTAGTGTCATCTTTGATTTCTTTTATCTGTATCTTTATATTTTCTTGGGTCTTTTGCCTCCTTAGTTAGATTTATTACTAGGTATTTTATTCTTTTTGATGCAGTTATAAATAGGATTGTTTTCTTAATTTCTCTTTCTGATAAATCTTTGTTAGTGTTTAGAAATGCAACAGATTTCTGTATATTAATTTTGTATTCTGCAACTATACTGAACTCATTGTCATGAGGTCTGTTGATTTTTTTATTTGGTGTCATTTTTAGGATTTTCTATATATAGTATCATGTTATCTGCAATAAGAGTGACAGTTTTACTTCTCTTCCAGTTTGGTCCTTTTATTTCTTTTTCTTACCTGATTGCTATGGCTAGGACTTATAATACTGTGTTGAATAAAAATGGTGAGTGGGCATTGTTATCT